GGGCCCAAAATGTACGTGCCTACCCTTTTGAATGTATTGACAATGATGGCAAATTGGCCACGTCACTCTTTTGGAGGAGGTTAGTTGGTAAAATTCACAGGATGGACAGAACTGAGGGATTGTAGTGTACATCCCTGGCCAAACAAAATGGCTTCTGATCTTATTCAAGGTTTACTGGAAAGCTATGTGACCAGCCCATGGAACTGAATGACCCATCTTTACGACTCTTTATCTAAACTTTTGTGGCAAAGCAAAAGCCTCGGTTTTCCCTTTACTCTGATACAGAAGGCTCTCTTTCATATGTAAGTGAAATCGTCTAAACAGCTTGGATTATTGTGCTGAACATGCTCCACCTCTGTCACCTTACCAAACCATAGCCTTTGTGTAGGATCTTGGTTTTGCAGGGATTTCAGATCTAGTAGAAAATCAGGCTCCAGTTCAGGTAGTATAAGAGAGCTTTGTGTTCCTTGTCTAAGGTAATCTTTTAGCTTCTCTGTCCTTGTCTGTGCCTTTGATTTATGAACTTAAACTGGTTTCACTTACCAGTCTTCCCCATTAAATGGCAACTCTCTGAGAACACCCTTTGCACTCTGTGCTCTAGTGGCATCGTTTGGGACCGTAACTGAATCCAGGTTGTCCAGCTTTAGTGGCTCATTACAAACAGAATGTAACTACAAACTACTCCTTGCATCCCCCTAAAACACTGCCTGTTGCATAAGGTCATACAGAGTGGGGACATCATTTCCTAGAATGACTACATATGGTAGTATTAGGAGCTAATGTCTGGCCTGGCCTCCTACTGTGGATAAAACTTGGAAAGACTGTTGGGAAATCTTCTATGAGGACCAGGACCTGTCTGAGCCCAGTTTGAGGAACCTCTCGGGAAGACAGACACATCGGTGAAACACCATCTTGATGTGCCAAATGCTGACACCGAATGACATTAGCGTAGGAGCTAACGTCAGGGCGCTATCTTCGGCGCTGATTGGCGCCAAAGGGACACACTCTACTACACACTGTACGTTAATGACGAGGCGCCAGTCTGACATTTTAGAACTTAAACTTTTATTATTTTTGCAGAGCAATGATACAACCATGCATTAAAGGTACATGACACAAATGTTGACCATATGAAGTTTTCCATAAATAAACATCTTAGTCACAATTGTAGGTTCATCGTCATACAACCCCAAAATAAGGAAACACTTTGGGAGGGATAGCTAGACATCATATGCCAAGAGACAAACTTGTTGGGTTTATTTACCAGTCTGACATTTTAAAGGTGCATTATGAGATGTTTGTTTGCTCCTTTGTTACCTCCTGAGCTGTATTATGTGTGTTTAGCACTTTATTTTTGCAGTCTAAGTACATTTTACCTATCCCATATGGTCTAGCGGTTAGGATTCCTGGTTTTCACCCAGGTGGCCCGGGTTCGACTCCCGGTATGGGAACCCCCCCTGTGTTTTCTATCTCTCTGCTGTCACCGCTGACTCCGAATAGGGATTTTCCTCTACAGAGCTCATTGTCAGATTGATGATAACTGGAACATTGTGTCTACTTTGTTAGTTGCTTTTGGATAAAAGCGTCTGCTAAAGGCATAAACGTACACACACATATTCTTCTTTCCAGATGATTAATATTTTTGTATGGCTAATTACCCTATAAAGACAGAGGTTATTTTGATACTGCTGATTTCTATAACATATTCCGATATTTTGAGTGTTGCTTATTTTATCACTATACATTGTGAAACCATATTACAATACTAATTCATTAAAAATAGTTACTCTCTGTTGAAAAAGAGTTTATGTGGATTTGATATGATTTAAATACTATAATTATTATCTTTTTAGATGATAGAAAATTAAGATGAATGATCTGATCCTACTAATCATGGGTCAGGTTATTTTTTGATGGACCCATTGAGCTGGACCTACCTGGATGTTTGAGCCGGTTGAAGTTTGACCCCAGACCCCAGAGGATACTTTGAGATACGATGCCAGCGAATTTGAATCCTTTTACATTTTTGCAGTGCAATAGTGCAGTGGGACTGATTTTCCACAAAACCTTATCCTATTATTTTATTTCTATACTTTTCCGGGTAAGAGCTGGGATCATTTTTGTAAGTGAGGAACTGTTCAAGAATGAGAGTTTTTGATAGTTCATTAATTTGCTTTTGTTTGCTTTTTAAAGCAGCAAAATATTGCCAATTATTTTTCCTTAAACGTCCAATGACGATATTGACTGTTAACCTCTTAATGGCACAAAAGGCTCAGCAGACGGAAAATACTATTAAAAAAATGAACCCTTCAAAGCCATATGTATCATATTTGGTACAAATTCTGAAATGTTTTGCATTTAAGACCTTTTTCATAATTTAATGGTAAAAACGCCCTTTTGGCAGCCTCCCTTTCATGAAGGATTCGATCGAAAATCCTCTGAATTTCTTCATAAAAAAGATCAATAAAAAAAATAGTCACAGTGATCAGAATCATTTTGAAGTTCCCCACTACTTCACCTCACGAGATTGTAGCAAGATGGTTTAGGCAACTTTGGCATATTCAGAAAGGAAGGCAGAAGGCTGATGTTCAAAATTAAGAGAATACTGGGTCAAAAGAAGTCTGCCCCCTTCAGGATCTCCATCAAAACTTTTCTGGAGGAGGGATTTTAGGTCCACTTTAAGCACCTGCTGCAGGATTGACAGGAAGTGGGACAGGCCGTATGACAGGGGGACTAGCTTGAGTCTGAGAGGCTTTAAAATTAGAAAGTCCCTGCAAAATCTCCTGAACCCTTCTTTCTTCTTTCTACATTTGAACACCAATCTGTATTTGGCTGTGGATTCATTCTGGCGAGATCGTGGTGTAAGAGCCAGAACCTAGATTCACAAGGTCCAAGAATCCAGCTTCTGCAGGACCATGAATGAAGGACCTTAAGGCCTTAGAGACGTTCCCTGAAGGCAGTAAGTCTTGCATCCATAATCCAATTATTTATGGTCCAGAGACAGTCCAGGGTCTCTGGCACATCTATCAAAAAAGAAGCTGCTTCAGAAGCACCGTTTCCAAGCTGATTAGTTCGGCCAAAGTCATGTGATCAATGACGATCGAAGGTTCATTGGTGCGCCACTGGTTTAGTACCTGACATGATGCTTTATAAAGAGGTGACTCATCGACATGATTTGTGTTGAGTTTTGGTGGGGATATTGTGCGAGTTGGGAGGATTGTGATCGACAAATTGGGAGACATGGAGCCAGTGAGGAAGAGAATATGTTCTGCAATACTTTGATATCGGTTTCCCATTCATTGATACAACCTTATACCCGTAGGTCCAGTGCGTAGTCTGCAACCAGCAGCTAGCCTACAACAACAACAACATATCATAAGACATCACTGTTTTTTAATCTATCTTTACAAACATGAAGACACATACTGTAGAAAGGCCTATACTCTGTACATGTACAAAGCATCACAACAGTGGGCGGATACAGACAGAACTGTCACATGATTATATTTTTAGTCCACCTGCTTTTTGGTATGAGTATAATAAGTTGTGTATTATGATTATGATAAGAATTATTCCAATGTACATAGCACATTAAGGGCAGAATATAGAATGATTATAATAAAAAAAACGTATTCAATAGATTAAACACTAAACACACTTAAAAGAAACGTATTGATGCCGTAAAAAAAACAACACATGGTGCTAAAATAGAATGTTCAGGTATGTGTACATGGGGTCTAAACAGGTTAAATAGAAGCTATCAATTCGACTCACAGGACAATGACAATGAAGCAGTTCATTTCAATTTGGAGATCCAACATGCTGTTCATACTTTTGACCACTAGGCGGCACCAGAGTTTGAAAGTTTCAAGCACTGAACCCTTATTTTTTATACAAGCTTCAATGCTTTAGAACGCTTAATTTGGCTGTAGATTTACCATTTCCATAACACTAAAAAGGAGGACATTATGCAGCATATCAATAAATTACAATGGTGGACATAGGACTCTGCTATACTCTCATTTATAGTACCATTTTGAGTGATTTAAACATGATGTTTGTGTAGCTGAATAGGGAAAAATATCTGTGAAAAGACAAAAAATGTGGGTTCACTGTATTTGTATTTATAGCATAATTTGTGTGGACTTAAATGTCAAAAACAATTAACCGGTATCATGCATGATTTTAAAAAAGCTTTAAAAAAAGCCTAAATAACCTTTTTTGTAAACAACAAAAGAGATAGTGAAACAAACAAACATTCAACTACTCAAAAAGTATGACATTACTAGAGTGCTTCAGTCTTTTTGGGACTTTGTCTTCATTGTCTGTGAGTGTGCAGCAGACCTGTCTTAAAGCAAACTTCACCCTCTCTAGCAGTTTAGGCATGTCCTCATCGAAGAAGTCCCTGCGGCACGATTGTGACAATCATGATTAAGCCAATCATACGTTAAACCAGATATGCTACCCCTTTTGCTTGATGGATGTCAAAAAAGGTCAGACTATCTCACGCTGAGCAAGTGCAGAGTAGTGTTTGAATGAGGAGCAGCAAAGGTGAGTAATCTACAGGAGAGGGAGGGAGAGGGAGCTGCGCAGCCAATGCAGAACCGAAATTGTGACATTGCAATCTCCCAAAACTAAAGAAGGATAATTCAGATCCGGAGGTTGGGAGAAAAAAAATCTGGAAAAATCGAACATCATCAAAATTGGGTGCGTGAGCTTGTTACCAAATTGCTTCACATGATAAAAAAATTCTTCCATATTGATCTGAGAGGCAACAAAAGGGATCTTTTGAAAAATTAGAATAGCTGCACACATAGACCTAAGCTGCCTCAAACATGAAATTACCTTTTTACTTAATTAATTGTCTAAATAATTTTACGCTTTGAATACTTTTTAAACTTGTACAGATTCTTTTTTTTCCAAAAGCGTTGGGGTATCTGTCATATTCTGGAACTTATGTAAAATGAAATTCATTTCACAAATGAATTCGGACAAAACAGTTTTGTAACACAATGTTTATTATTTCTGTTTCACACGTGTCAAAGTCTTTGTCATCCAAGCAGCACACGGGTTTCTCTTCTCTCCTCGGGGCTGACTTTCCATCCATTATCTCGGTTTTCGTCTGCTGCTGTCTGTCCTCTTGCTGTCACGGTACAGCCTTTAATCTGGAGGATGACATCAAACATACAATACTAAACCTTTTTTTTTACATAGACAAATTCTCGAGAGCCCGCTTCTTGCAACTTATAGGGGTTCTCTGTAAATACAGTAAGTCTTAAGAATTCCTAGGAATAATTGCGTGACAAAAAAAAAAAAAAAAGCAAGCTTTGATAGATCATCATCACCCTTTTTACCTTTGGGAAGGACATTGTTCTCAAAGGCGCCCTCATTGGTGAAGTTGCCCGCTGGGCGATACTGCCCAACAACAAAGAAATACTTTCCATCGGTGGCCATGCCCACACCCAGTTCTTTGCTGTCTTTCCACACAACCTGAGTAAAATGTCCTGCATAAAAAAAATACAGAAGCACAATACAGCCAGACAGTGGCATTTTTAATTAGATTAATGGAAACTAAAACATAATACATCATGAAGATTACTGGACAAATATTTCAGATGTTTGTGTTCTTATTGTTCTATAGTACTGTGTAGGATGTACAGTACATGCTTTTTTTTATCATTCCCTAATTTATAAATATGTATTTTATATTTAAGACATTTTTCTTACCAGTGTTGCTTTGAAATCCAGGCTGGCTGAATTTGTAATCCTTGATCTCACCGTACCATGAATCCACAGCTTCTTTGCCTGGAATATGAGGAAAACAGAGTAAAAAAATTTGGATCCAACAGTTTCTCAGTATCCAAAAGTGTTCAATTGAAAAAGTTTGTTTATTGTATAATGTATACAATTATACAATTGTTCTTGTATAATGTGAGATGAAAAAACATGGCCCACCTGTTAGTTTCATATCTTGAGAGCTTGACATGTAATAGACATTCTCTCCATCATTAGTTTCACTGTGCGTTAGGCTTTTTTTTTCAAGCATTTTATCAGCCCATTTTTGGGCTTTTGCCGACATTTCGCTGTTGAGGGTTAGCGGCGGTGCATGGTGCATTTTCCTGTAGGCGTTGTGGGTGTCCAGGAACACCTTCTTAAAGCTTTCATCTGCATAAGTAAAATAAATAAATATGAGGATCTTATATTTTCAGAGAATGCTTTGGGAGTTATAATGGATCATGTCTTATAAGTGATGTTCTAGAAAGGAATACTGGGAGAAAAACACTGCACTTACCTGCCATTGCTGGTTATAATATTGGAACTGAAAGAGAGAAACAAAGTTAACCGTCCGTCAGCAAAACTAAACACAAATACATCATAATTGCATCCATCCTTGTACTCAATAACTGAAAAAAAAAGATTATTCTTGATAAAAGTACAACATCTCCTATTAAGTGCAGCCAAAAGCAGTGTTTACCTTATTCAGTTTCTTTAAGGTTTTGGTCAATATCCTGTCAGGACACAACTTCTCCAACCGTTTTACAGCTGATATTTAAGAAGGAGAGCAGAACCTGGTCCCCCTCATTAGTGTATGTAGGAGGAGACTTACAAGTGGCTCGTCCTTGTAAATTTGCATTTCAGGAATGCAGGAAGGTAATTATGCAGTTGAGGACACACGTTTTTCTTGTAACTTGTTTTTCTGAAACTCAAACTTTTTAAAAACATTAAAAAAAAACAACGAAAATCACATGTATAAAATGTAGAGCAATACAAAATTGAATAAAACAGGTTATAATTCATTTGACTGAGCTTTAAAGCTCTATTCAATTCTTTATCCCACCAGAAAATTGCAGATTCCACCTTACTTACAGCTGCAATGTTTTGAAAAAAACATTTCAGACAAGCTGTGGCTTGAATTCAGTTCAAGAGAAAACAATTAAAAAACGCAATATCACTGACTGAAAACAGCCAAAATAAATTTACCATTTGTTAATAATGGACACAGCCTGAAATACCAAGCTTATAACAAGCTTTAACATAATCGAACCTACAACTGACATGACTTGGTTAAATGTACAAACACTTACTCACCTTTTGTTGTCATGTAGAATTAAAAGAAAAAAAGAAAGAACTTGAGCTTGAAATAAGAGATGAGAGGATTTTAGGAATGTATGTGCAAACAAACATAAAACCAGAAGTACTTGTTCTGAGTGGAACTTTGTTTGTGGTTATGTGAAAATACTCCATCAACATGTTAACGTGTAATTTACTCAATTCAAAAATAAGCAAGTTACTGCCATCCCAGATTGTTTGTGTGGGAGTAAACCCATGACAGTAAAAACTGAAAATGGAAGTTAATATTTATTCTGCTTTTAATGTCTCTGTGGTAAAATGCCACAGTAGTGGATTTAATATGATAAAGGGGGATTGTACTTTATCTCTTTTCATATGACATTTCATGGTCAAAATTGATAAAATATCTCCTGGTAATATGTTACATTATTATATATTCCTTTGTACAACATGAAACTCTAAAGATTTGGCAACTTTTATAAAGTTCAAATATGCATTCACAATATTAAATACCTGCTAATGTAAACAGTACTATCACCCCTTCAGATTATCATCGCAAAAGGTTTCCAGTGAACTTGCCTGCAGCCTAAATATGCAACAAAACATTTCTTTAAAAAACAGACAGGCATACAGTTTGATAAACTGTGTTCCTGGACGATAATTAACACATAGATTGAAACGGGAGCAAAAAAACCCTTCTGTGATAAGAGTAGCTCGTCTCATTCATAAAATAGCACTTCGGATGATGGAGACACGGCAGCCTTCATGTAAAACAGGACTGGACCTGCTGAGAATCACCTGCTTTGCATGTAAGAAAGATGTCAAATTGCAGGTTTCCACGTCTTCTTAAGATGCCTCATGCCCCTATAGAATTTTTAAGAGCATTCTCAGACTCTAGCACCCCATTATTAACAACATGTGCCATATCATTAGGTTGGTTTATTGATGTGTAAATGATTGTTGAGATTTTCTAGTTAAATTAAATACTTTGGGGACAGTTCTGTGTAGTTTCAAGGACACATTTTATTGATATGTTTGTAACTAACAATGGATAAGATGATTAAGACATTTTAATCATTTAAATGGAACTGACACAGACTGAAAAAAAGTAGAAAATAGATTAAATCAAGTAAACACAGAGGACAAACTAAAATTTTCAGATTTATGGTGTTTTATAGAATTGCAATACATTCAAACTTCACAATGTTCTCAAACATATTAAAAGAAAAAACATGAGGTGCACAACATGATTTTAGTGGGAATGATACCCAATAGCATTTACTAGCACGCAACATTTTCCATAGAGACACGGATGTAACCTAACCAAACGATACCAATTTTTAATTCTGGAAAGGTTTCAGTAGTTTTATTGTATCCCAATGGAAGTATAGTCCAGCCTGTGTGTGTAGCAATTATCTGGAAGCATGTTTTTTTATGTGGCTGTTAACACCAGAGATCTTGCAAACCAGCCACCAAATGTTCAAAAAAGAGAAAAAAAGTGGATGTGTCTCTTTGAAAGTGTTTTATTTAAGGCTGACTCCTGTGATGCTGGGTCAAACTGCTGCTGCAAACAGAGGACATTTTTACTTCTGTTAGCAGCAGCAGTTTAACCAAGTGAGTCTAAGTAAGTACAGTTTAACACGAGTAGATAATCCATGCTGAATGTTGCTGCATTGAACAACACAGAACCCTCATGTTGTGTGATCTTTAATTAAAATGAAAATTAAATTGACATATTTTAAATGTGTTTGATCTAGGCCCTAAAGTCTTGTTGACTTTTTTTTTCACTGAAAGAAAATATAGACAGTGCTACTCAGTAGAGATGTTTTATTAACCCTTTTAAACCTAAAATTCTAAATTTTTTCTTGAGTCTGCAGTGTATATTTGGCTCCTTAAAAAGAATAAAATATATATATATATATAAAAACTCAAATAATTTTGGATTATTAATAATTAATTACTGAGTAATAACTTAATGTTATCGATGTGTATTCTTCTGCCCTCTGTTATTGGGTATTTCTCTTTGTGAGCAACAGAGTTTTTAGCAAAGTTTTTACCATTAAATTATGCAAAATATTTCAGAAATCGTAACCATCAAATATGATACATATCCTATTACAGGTTTAATTTCTGTTCTTTCTCAAATGGCTGTGAGCCCTCTCTTTCTCTTTTCTGAACTTATCACTCAGATACTGTATGAGGAAATGAATAAAGGTAAGATAACTGAAACATATAGTGACTGAATCAGGTCTAACTTTTCCAATTGTCAACATTACATGACATGACCCCTTAAGCAAACACTGCAAGCAGCACCAGTAACGAAATGTAAACACAAGGGCCAGTAAGGATATTTTTTGCTATGTTACTGGACACTTAAAACAGTCATTTGAGCCAAGTGCAACCACACCAAGCCAGAGTCAATATTATTTTGGTTTGTTGAAATAGAGAACTATATAAATACTTATATACAGATATAAGTCTTTATCAAAGAAAGACACTATGAGACAATGTTTTTAATTTGTATCTTGAACACGGGTTCTGTTAATATTTGCATTATGAAACATTTTGTAAAAATAATTAATAACAATAAAAACTATTTTAAATGTAAAAGCATACCCTTAAACCTGATGAACACAAAAAAAACTAATAAATAGCTATAGCCTGTTTAAACAAAAAATTTAAACATTTCCAGGTCTGAGACTGATAATTTTAAAATAAATATATATTTTAGTGTAATTTTTTCTTTTGCTTGACTGCTGACTTAGTTTCCAACAATAGTACATTATGGCCTTTCCCCTTATATGTCAGCTTGTTGATAGTTGTTGTTTTTCAAGTCATTTGCCATCTTTACAGTTGGTGATGGTATTTATAAAGAATTTCTTTAATTTGAAAAACAAAAAATTTGCAATTTGATTAAGAACGTAAGACAACAGAATAAAACATGAAGGCACAGGGAGACAGAACAGAGGGCAGTGACCTGAGAGAGATAAGAACAAGACAAACCAGAATCTCAAGGAAATTCTATACAACTGAAACTAAAATCCAGGAAACAATCGAAGAAAACAAGAACATTGTCTGCATTGTAAGATACTTTGGATAAAAGCGTCTGCTAAATGCATGAACTTAACACAGTTAGAACGCAAATTGATGACATCAAGTTCAGGAAATATAAAAAAATCGAATCCACAAAGAAAATTCAGACAGAAACCCAAAAACAAAGTCCAAAACCCCAAATGTTACCATCAGTTGGTTGGGTCTTGTATTTGCAGTTTGACCAGAAATACATTACAACTCTGCTGTCAAAGTTTCATTATGATCAAAGGTAAAAACAATGTTAATTTACTTGTAATACTTTTTTTCAACTATTTGGGCGTGGGTTTTTAGAATAGTCAGTTAGCTGTTCTAATAGGTTGCTAATTAAAAATAAGGAAATTACCCTCCATTATCCAGTATTGTTCTTCCAGTAACATTAGTATCCAAACCACAGCACACAAAGGTTTTTCAGACATCTGTGTTTTTACAAAGACATTCATCCCTCTATCCATTTTTTTATACCGTAGGAACGTTTTCGTTGAGTGAAGAGAAATACTTGCAAAGGAAAAACTTCAAGTGTTGTCCAAAGAAATACAACCAAATATATTTAATAGAATCTAAGTCTGCACTTGCAGATCTTTTGCCTTTTAAATCTTTTATTAAGTCTGGAGTACCAGTGACATGGAGGACATCCTGCCCTAACCCTAACCCTAAAATGTCATATATTTTCCCCAGTTACTACAGACCTGTTACCATGCCATCCCATATTGTCTTCAAGAGACCACTATTAACTCAAGTGAGCAATAAACACCTTTCCGGACCAGCTATAGTTATCTTTTAATCCCGGGTATGATGTTGATAACATATTTTACCTGGTTTAGAACGTCCATCATTATCTGGACATAGCTGTTATTTAAGAAGATGCAGAAATTGGAGTTGGAAGTCTCGATATTCCCATTATTTTATTGGCTACCTCAAAAATAGACTGCAAAAGTTGTACGTCTAAGAGAGTAGTCAAGAAGACCGTTGCAGGACAGGGACACAGATGACTGTGAAATTGTTCGGTGTATCAGTTATGGAAAGGAAGCTGAGTACGTGGACCCCTTTGTGGAGTGATGTGGCATCACCTAATCTTGAACACACTGCATACAAACAAAACATCCATCTATCCATCCATCTCCAGCAGGATCCCAAGGCGCTCCCAGGTCAGCCGAGAGACATAGTCCCTCCAGCATGTCCTGGGTCTTCCTCTGGGCCTCATCCAGGTGAGACGTGCCTGGAACACCTCACCAGGGAGGCAACCAGGAGGCATCCTAATCAGATGCCAGAGCCACCTCAACTGGCTCCTCTAAACGTGGAGGAGCAGCGGTTCTACTCTGAGCTCTTCCCGGATGGCCGAGCTTTCTCACCCTATCTCCAAGGGAGAGCCCAGCCACCCTGTGGAGGAAACTCATTTTAGCTGCTTGTATCCACAATCTCGTTCTGTCTGTCACTTTCGGGCGGCTGTGGCTCAGCAGGAAAGGGCAGTTGCCCACTGATTGGAGGGTCAGTGGTTCAACTCCATGTTCCTCCAGACCACATGTCAAAGAGTCCTTGGGCAAGGCTCTGAACCCCAAGTTGCCTACTGGTTGCATCTGGTGTACCTACCGATGCAACCAGTGTGTGAATGGTGGATTACATGTAGTGTGAAGCTCTTTGAGTAGTCAG